AGTTTGTAACGAGAAAGAATAAACTAGTTTTAATCAAGAAGGGACTTGTATCGCTGAAGTCACTCGGAAATAATTTTTACCGGAAATTATTAAACAAGCAGATTGTTTGAAAATCTGCTTGAAGGCCTTTACGAGTGTCGCTCCTTTCTTATCTTTGAGTGGAACAACCCATGCATATTTCGAAACCCATCGATACACGTCAGCAAATAATTAAGGGTCAGGCTTTCTTAAGTGTGTGCAACTTGATGTCGCCAGTGTTCTGTAAGTACCTTACACAAACATATAACAATTTCGAAATGAGAGACGATGCACAGAATTTTCCAAACATATATAATATGTTGAGTTTGTGCTAAATTTTCCAGCAAACCAAAGAAATAAACAATGGTGTGGTGTTAAAAGTAGCATGTCGCCAGCAGAAAAATTTAATTTCAAAGCAATAACACAAACACAAAAATTATGACGTAAGCTTTTATTGTGATTAATTAGTGAACATTTATGCTTTGAAAAGTTGTTATTAGTTGATTGTCCCATTACTTTATCACATATAAAAATATCTTAATTAACATGTCGCTGCAGTCATGTGTTCTCATTTACGGTTGTTTATTTTCAAGACAATAATTACAAATTTTTGAATAAATAAAAAGATTAGAATCTAAAATCAATCCGGAAAGTATATAATTTGATTTGATCATACCCCAAACACAGGGTATCAAGAGATATTTTGGGTACATCTATTTAGAACTTGTAATAAAATTAGTTTTTAAGCACATGATTTCCTTTGAGCATATATCTAGTGTAGATACTCAAATAATGTCATTTTGTTATAAAGTTATACACAACAAGCAAGATATTTGTTGGTATCAATAACTGAAAAGGTAAGAGTAAATTGCATTCTTCAATAAAAATCACTGAACATGAAATTGTGTGAACTCCTTTACGTGTTCTCCTTTACTTCAGTTTTGCTTCAGAGGGTAATATATAGAGTGCATAATACTTTTCCCGCCATATTTAGTTTCCATCATGTGCAGATGATTACAGAAGGGTGGATTTGAAATGTATTAGTCACAAATCAACTCATTTTCCTGCAAGAAAAGTCCTTGAAAGTGGGATTACATAACGGGTGTGAATCTCTTTAACTGTATAACTAACATTCAAATGGTATGAGTGGTGGTAGTTTTAGGTTTAAATGACTGATAAATTATAAAGCTAAATCTGTGAGCGATAATTAGGGGTCTATTTGGGGAAATGATGAGATGCATGCAAAGGAGTTCACGGAATGGGTAAAGTAGATCACCATTTTAATTCAACTCCTTATATATGCCTTGCACTTCTTAGTATAATGCCAAATTATAATAAAAGCTTACGTTTATGATCTGTGGAAGTAGTATATTACAGAATACCTATTCTTATTAATCTGCTTTAGCTGGATTTACTGTAGAAATGTAAGGGAGATCACATTAACTTTGCTAATATACAGAGGTGGTATGCATTTCAGTGATGGGTTTCATATTTATATTTTTAGAATGGATGGTAAAGAAAGTCAGCAGCTGAAATATCACAGAAAAACGGCAGCAGAAGGGAAAACCTTTTTACAATTTGTTTGCTTTTTGTGAAAAACGGTAGTCATATTCATCAAGGTGGAAAAATATGACAGAATGTGGCCCGAGTGCTACATTTATGGCACAAGGTTTTTCAGTAGTTATATTTTCATGAATTGTATAAATCATGTTTATAGAAGATTTTGTTTCCAACATTTTCCGATTGAAAAATGGACACTTAAGAAAGTCTGGACTTTAAAATGATTGTTATAATGCCTTATGTTATATATATATATGTACTAAACTAACCTGCCACTGTCAATCAATACAAGAAACGATCACTCTGTTTCTTGAAAATCTGTATCTTACAGGCTTGTATAGTGTATATGTATATTGGTGTTGTTACCAGTCCTTGACATGATTTAGATTGAAGGCTTAACCTAATGCTTTTACTGACTTATATAAAGCCTGTACACTGTTATATCTAGCAGGATGTGAACTATTATAATAAATAGATTCTACAGTTTTATCCATATTATTTGTTACATCTAATGAATTTGAACCAACATTTTCTATTTGGTTTACTGTCTGTAGCAGTAGTTATCATCTGTCCTTTACAACAGGCAAAAGTAAATCTTAGCCGACTGATAATGTTAACAGGATTCAGAATTTGACAACAGCCCATAATGACAATCAAGAAACAAGTGATTATATAATACAACATTCGTTTATTAAAAATTAGCCCATTTAAATATAATTCATGTAGGTCTTTTAACAGTTCGATTTTCATGCTTCATATACGACCATCTGTCTACATTTCCAAC